GCGGTCTGGGCACCAGAACGACCCGCCAGAGAGTGCAGAGCGGCTCACTGGATACGGATCACTTTGCATAGTGTGGCAACAGTTGTATTTTAACCCAAAACATGATATTTCTCTAACCTAACCACGTGGGTTTAATGCCTAACCCAGAATATTGTTAATCAGCTCATATCAGACCAGATACATGAAGATTCGTATGCAGAAACAGATTCTGTTGCGAGACTGTCCGAAAAACTTCACATGGTGCATGACAAGGAAAACACAGATAAGTATAAAATAAAAATACTGAACTATAAATGTTGCACCAGCTGCAGGACAGCATAACTGCACAGAATATAAGCTAGTTCCTGGACGCCTCCCACATGGAGGCCGGGGCAGACCCAGGACATGCTGGAGAGATTATGTCTCTCTGCTGGTTTGGGAATAACTCTGTGTCCCACCGGATGAGCTGGAAGAGGTGGTAGGGGTGAAGGAAGTCTGGGCTTCCCCATTAGACTGCTGCCCGTACCCGGATAAATGGCAGAAAATAGATGGATGGATGGATGATCTACAACATATGATGGATATTTAATTGTGACGGCTTTTAGAGTGTGCTGCTTTATGTTTAAAAATAAAAGCAAACTGTCATACTTTTGCTGCTCAGGGATTAGAGCTTTTATGTTTCTGTTTGTTTAAACAGACGAGCAGAAAAATGAAAGTAGAGGCAGGACATGGAGCTGCAGAGACCAGCCGCAGCATCGCACCAATCACCACCATGACTGTAACTTTCACTGCGGGCAGCAGCGATGAAGGTTAAATAACTTCATCCTGCTTTCAGTGGCCATTCAGTGAGTCTCTACACCCATGGCTCAAGTTTAAATGACAAAGAGACAAACACTCAGGCTTCTGACAGCAGACCTGTGTGATGTCACAGAGATGACATATACCTAATATGGTCATCTCAGGAGCAGAAGCCCCACCAAACACTAAGGACGCCGTGGTAATTTAGCGCTTTGTGAATCACCTTGTTGGTGCAAAAATATTATTTTGTGCCTCTCAGATGTGTTATCTTTGTTTTTTTTTAAATAAATTTAACTAAAGAAATGCAAACAAACTGTGTTCTTGTGACAGGCAGAGGAAAATATTTCAAAAAATTTGCAGAATTTGGTGTAATGTGTTGGAGCCAGACCCTGAACTTCAACAGGTAACAAACTGATGAGGAGTCAGTCTGCAGACTCCGTTTGTACCTGTTAATGTTTCTACAGGAGAATCACCATGGCGATCTCATCTAAGTTTCTTTGTGAAGGTTTTCATCTTTGCTTTGCGTTCATCCCTAAATACTAAGAGGAAGCGCTTATGCGTGTCCTTATTAGGACACGTGACGGCAGCCAAAGGTTTATATTGTTAAGTGCTGATTATGACACAATTCAGGTCATTTTACGGAGAAACTGGAAAGTAATGTAACAAATTACTTTCCCCAGTGAGTAATTAAAGTACTGCATTACTTTTAAGAAAAGTAATAAGTAATGTATAATGGCTTGAGTAATGATCCCAACAATGCTGATGTGTAGACACATCACTGGTTCACTGGTTCGTCCATTGAATTGGTGACTTTTTATGCTTGAATGAGTCACAGGTCAGTGTTAAGTGGTTCCACAAACAAACAGCCTCTGAAACTGGTCAGGTACAAGGATCCGACTGCAAATAACTGAGAAAGTCCAAAGGAAAAAGTTTTAAATACTTTCAGAAAGCCTGGAGAAGTACTGTCCAGAACCACTTTTTTTAAACTACAAGGAAGAAATTTTGGCTCACTGGAAGCAAAATGTGAAGAAATGAGGCCGACGCAAGACTTCTGCACAGCACTTTAAAAATTCCAGATATTTTATCTTCTCGGAACCAGCTGCCGACACCATCCCTATAAAAATGTGCAATTTCTGCTGAGTTAAAGGCACTTTTTGTAATTACCCTCTGCAGAATGCGTCAAATAAGATTAACCTCCAGGGGGCAGCATTTTACCAGATGTGTTTACAGATGTGTTGTTTTTCCCCCCCTTCTATTCTTTTGACATTTCTTTTTACTTTTTCCTCCATTTCCTTAAGAGGCTTTGGCATTTGCCACTTTAAACAATGTTTATGATGACTCACCTGTAAAGGTTACGGTGAATCGCTGCACCATCTTGTGGTACAGTCTGGCATTACATGAAAGTACAGCCCAGCCCTAGTTTAACTTCAGCTCATTGCTCAATAACACAACATGCAGACAGAGCTGTGGTTAAATCTGGAAGCTTTCAAACATTTTAAAAACACATACATTCACAGTAAGTGCCTTTAAACAAATACACAAAAGCTGCAGTGCACTCACCTGTCCTGCAGGTGGCGCTGCGGCTGCCATGTGGTGGCGTGTTGAGGTGGTAGGAGAACCTCATGGTGCTGAACTGACTGGAGAAGGAGGGAGCAGGAGGAGCAGGGAGGCTGAGCAGAGTGCTGCGAGGTCGGTTCAGCTGCATGCCTGCACAGGTACGTCACTGCACACCTGTACGCAGGTCAGGGTTTATTCAGTTCATTCTCCACTCATGAGATTTTTCCTTCTCTTTTTTCTTTTTATTTTAAAATATGAGTGTTTGTTTTTGAATCAGTCACTTTCTGCTTGTCAGAGTCAGTTTTGCTCTCAGAGAAATCCACACAGGCGCACTCGGCATCAGTTATCTGCTTCACTCTTTTCTCCATTCAGGAAAATGAACTTCAGCTGCGACTCTCTGGTGGTTCGCTCTCTGGCTGAAGCCATGTGGAGGTCAAAAATGTCTCACCCTCCTTCATCCTCCCCCTCTCGCTCCCATCTTTTCCTCTTTGTCACTCTTTCAGGAATCTAAACGTTACCAGTCTCCGTGCCTCCATCTCCACGTCACGTATCCGCAGAAACAATCAGAGGAATCCGGCTGATGTGGTTTTCAGATTAAAAACCTTCCCCGGGTGTGCCGACTGAGGGTTTCTGTCAGTCCAGCTCCTCCGAGATAAAGCTGAGGAACAACTTTTGAGGATCCAGAAACCTGAAATCAAACACGTCTGTAGGAGCTTTAGAGCAGAATGTGCAGACTCAGCTCTCCTCCTGCTCGAGTGCCTCCACTTTTTCTGATTTCTGCTCCTCCTGCTGCTCCGGTTTGACTCCCTCTGAAGACTTTTTGCTCTTTCTCTTCAGCGTCAGTTTGTCCAAACAGACAGACAGACAGACTGGCTGTCGGTTGGCCGTCTCTCGGCAGCTCCAGGCTTTTGTGTGAAAGTCTGATCTGAGCTGCAGACCGACACCACAACTCCTCCTCCTCCTCCTCCGTCCAGACATCTGATCCCAGAGCAGCTCCCCTCCTCCCTCTCTCCTCTCCCTGTGGTCTGGTTCTCATTTTCTCTGTTTTCTGAGGCTGAAATTTGAAGCAAAAGGAAAACTTTGGAGAAAAATTCCAGCAGGATATTTTACATTTTTCCCCCTTTACCAACACCAGAGTCTGAGCTCCACTTACTCTCCACCACTCATGACTCTGCTTTTTCTCTTTCTAACAGAAGCACAGATTCAAGTTTCAGGATGATGTGAGCAGCAGCTTTCAACCACCAGGGGGCTCCAACCCTTCATTCCACATGTCCCTGCTGCGCTCGGAGCCTCAGTCTGAGATCGTAACAAAGGTCACATTTCAGTGGTTTTAAGATCTGTCCACAGACGGGAGCAGACTCCCAACATGTCAAAACATTTTCTTCAGGCAGAGCAGAGATCTGCTGCCACCTGCTGGGACATGCTGACATATTTAAATATCCTGCTTATTATTTTGCTTGATCAGCTTTCCGCAGCATATGCTGCTCTGGCCTCTTTTCTCATGCTCCGTCTGAAAGCCTCTGTTTTAGCTCCCGTCACTTGAAAGGACTGAATCTGGTCTTTTTGGACTCTTAACTGGGAACTTGAAGCTTTAAGTGCTTTTTACCCATCATGCACACACATGGGTTCCATCATCAGTGTCGTGCATGTGGAGTCAAACCACTGACCATCTCCATGAAAATTGCCAGAAGAAGGTGGATCACCCTATGATGTCCATTCATTCTAAACTATGACCGGGTAATGTCAGGGGTTCTCTTGTGTGACCAACAGTAGCTGTTACTGTGTCTCTGTATGGATGCTGGTGCAGCGTGTGAATGACACACAGCCAGGACACACTGGAGAGATCATCTCTTGGCTGGTTTGGTAATGCTCGGTGTTGCCGAAAAGAATAGATATTCATCTACTACCAGATGAAAATTGCTTCTGATTCTGTCTGTTTACCATGTTGGCTAAGGTACTGCACTCCACACCAAGTGTTTTTTTACTGTTATGAGTGCAGTATCACAAAGCTGTGGATTTCCCTCTCATCTACCTTAGAGACTAGATGAGGAGCTCGTTCAGGAGAGGAAGAGTAGAGCTGCCAGCAGCCAGATGAGGTGGTTCGAGAATCCTCCGAGGCGCCACCCAGGTGAGGTATTCCAGACATGTCCTAATGGGGATGGGGGGGTGAGGTGTCTCTGTTGTGGACCCAGGACACGCTGAGAGATTAGATCTCTCGGCTGCCTTGTGAACACCTCACTGTCCCCTCAGACGAGCTGGAGGAGACGGCTGGGAGGAGCGAGGTCTCGGCTCCTCAGCTTAGACCGTTGCTCCTGCAACTGTAGCCATACTTGACAGTTTGGATGCACTTAAGCACTCAGAGCGGTGAATACAAGTAACAAAGTATGTGATTTGGGACACAACATGTGAGTTTATCAAAACTCTGAAGTTCAACACAACCTTCGTACCAGAAACTACCTTTGCCAATTTTTTACATGCACTAAAACAAAAAACAAAAAACAACGTGTGTGCCGTAAACTCCAATCAGCTTCATCTCAGAAAACCTTTCAAAAACAGACATTTTACATCTCATCACTTTGAGATGTTTTCTTGTTTTAAATCTAAAAACATTTTATTTAAATTTACGAAAACAGACAAAAACAAAAAAATAAGTAAAATTATGTTTCCAGTAGAAAAACGAGAACATAAATGATGAGTCAGTGAATGTCCGACCTTCTGCTCCTCAGGCTGTAACGAGGCTGAACATCAGGGTGGTGATGAAGAGGAGGACGGACAGGAGAAGAGACGCGAGAGCAGAGGTCAGCATCACAACCAGGAGGGAAATCATGTTTCTAATGTTTACATCACACAATATTCCTAAAATGTCCAAAAACAAGATGTTTTTCCAAAGAAAATGTAAAAACACTAAACATCAAAAAATGAATAAGAATAGTCAAATCAGGCCCACAGAACGTGAACATAATATTCTGATAGTTGATGTCATGTTTAAGAGAAAATAAAACACGACATAAACACTCGTTTCTAATCGATCAGATTCACAGCTCGTCGATATTTCCCAGTCCGTGTTTGCCTCTGTGAGTTTCCGGGTTTACAGAATCAATATTTAGCTTTGAAGAATTTTGGTTGTTTAACCCTACAGATCAATACTCGATAATCAGCCCTCCCTACCTGTTTGTCCTCCACCAGGATGCTGTACACCAGCGGGGAGGAGGGGGGAGACCGAGGACGGCGAGAGGATGAGCGACGAGGACGCCTGCCTGGACTCTGACGCACTGAGGCGTTGTGGGAACCGTTCCTGAGGGTGGAGTCGGCTGATGAGGCGTTCTCGGTGCTGCTGAGGATGCTGTCGCTGCTCCAACCTGCAGCACAAAAAGATGTAGAAGAAGAAACCATGTGGACAGCTGTGCCACATCTGCATCTCGCTAATTAAACTCAAACTGTTTAAGTTTGAAGCTAATTGACTAAACTAACTCTTTAATTATAGATTATTGTGATGTCACAGCTGACATACGTAACACCAAAAGCAGTTACGATAAACTCAGCTTAAACTGACTCTAGGTTCACTTTCACACAGACTTCAATACAACTTCTGAGTTATTTCGCCCCCTGCTGGTCATCAAGAAGGATGGTTTTAGGCACATCCACACCCGCATCACTGTTTTAGACACAGAAGCTTCAACACCAAAGAGCCACAACAGCCACAGCGCAACTTCAAACAGCTAATAAATCGAGTAGTTTTGTTCTTGATATAAACAGAAGACAGAGTCAGTGGTGCAGAGATAACAACTTGCTCCTGAACACCTCCCAGGCAAAAGAGCTGATCATCGACTTCAGGATGAAATAAATCAATAATTAAGCCTTTAATAACGAGCAGGAACTCCGTGGAGAGGGTCACAGACTTCCAGTTTCTGGGAGTTTAGATCAAGGACGACCTGAGCTGGGCCATAAACACCACAGAGCTGTTTAAGAAGGCATCGCAGAGACGCTACATCTTCCAGAGGCCGAGAGATTTAAAACATACTGTTCTGTGTGTGCTTTTCCCGTGGGACAGAAAAAGGGACATCATTAACACTGGACGTCCTCTCGCTACTCTGGAGGAACCTGCGTAGTTACTGCTGTCGGAAAAACACAAATTCAACATAATAACATGATAAAGGATCAATCTCACTGTTAGCATCAGACAGTGTTGAAGTGTCCTCATGAATGTGCTCTTTGCACTAAACGAGTTGTGTAATTTGGGAGAATGGAGAAAGATAGTTTGTCTCCTTTGTCTTTATCTCTTATATAGTTTAATATCATTTATACACCATTTTTATTATTGCTGCGAGTGATCATTGCACTCCTGATTGCACTTAATGTCACTGTACACGTTACAGTGACACTAGAGTTATTTTATTCTTTTGTTGCATCAGTATTTGCAAACCAGAAGGATTGCCGAGGAGCTTAAATGGCACACTTTATGTGACGTCTGCCAGCTGGATGTGTATCAGCTGAGCCTGAACCAATGCTACAATGGCCAAGAACAAAGTCGGAACTTATTAACCATTTTCCTTCCTTTGTGAGTGTGCAGACTGCAAATCCAACTGCAATCAGATTCAGTCCTGACACAACACAGACAAAGACAACTTTCTCGCCCTTTGGCAGATGGATGGATGGATGGATCAACAACTACTGACCGAAGTGCGAGAGGTTCGATGGGTCTGAGCCACCGGTGGTGGGATATATGTCCTCCTTGTCTTCCTCTTCTCTTCTTTCCTCCTTCCTCCTCAGCATCTCCTCTCTTCTTCTGCTCTCTGATCTCATCTGGAAAACACGACACAGCTGATCTGGAACCAGTGGAACGGAGTCAGAGCGTAACCTCTCCTCTGCTAGCAGGCGTGTACACCTGAACTGTCTCCTGATGTTCTCACCTTCACAGGAAGCTGATCGTCCTCTGCCGTCCTCCGTCGCTCCCCTAAACTCTCTGCAGACAAAGTTTTCTCTTCAGTAAATTATCTGCGCCAATCAAACTCACTGGAATCTATGAAAACCTCCAACCAGTTGAAGACATCCACTGTGACACCACCAACAGCTAATCGAGCACCACCATGTTGGCTTTTTGGATCTCAACGTCTCGTTATGCATTCATAAAGAAATCACAGAAATAACCTGGGTGGCCTTCATAGTGCCTACTTCCATCTTTTGTATACAGTCTACAGTTTTCCCAAGTGTCTGCCTGCTGGCTGAACTCACCTGCATGCTGCAGCGCCTCCTGCAGGCTCCTCTGAGTCTCTCTGAGCTGCTGCAGCACCTGCAGACTCTGCTGCACCGGGTCCCTGTAGCGCACACACACCACCAGCAGAACACACACTCCAACACACACCATGAATCGCCTCAACGCACTCACGTACACAGTGAGCAGCTCCTGAACGCAGGAAAGAGTGATGAATGTGTGAATGTGTGCATCAGGTCAAAGGTTAAAGCATCAGGTGAAGCTCAGGTGAGCATACTGACCATGTGTTGGTGCTCAGGATTATCAGAGCTCAGCACAAACTGGTAGATCTTTCTCTCCAGGTAGAAATTCAAACATACTAAACTCAACAACACCAACCTAAACACACACACACACGTTATCAGTTACACGTTAAAACCCAGCTCTGTGCAAAGTCGGGGAAGGGAGGTGGCGTTACCTGGCTCTGGAGGAGCGTGGGGTGGAGGTGATGAGGAAGGAGGTGCAGAGGGCAGCGGCGTTGTAGCAGCAGGAGCTCAGGCTGTGAGTTTCCATCAGAAGGAAACTCTGCAAAAAGGAAACTCTGTTGAAGAGTTCGGACAGCGCCACCTGCTGCTCCCTCGAGGTGCTGCTGAGCTCTGAGAACACCGACCGCAGACCTGAGCAGGGGACAGGTGGAGAGAGGCGGAGGAAGTGAGTCTTTCAGGTGCTTGAAACATTTCGAAGAGGTGTCTGTGTGTCTCAGGCCATCAGTGTGCGTTTACCCCGTGTTGAGTCTCTGAGTGTGACTCTGAGTTCCTCGCCATTGGACAGGATCGCCTTCTGCGCCTGCAATGCAGCACTCTGGGCCTCGATCAGGTCCTCAGCCATCAGCCTGGTGGACTGAAGCTGCTCGGCTACACCTGCCGAGCTCTCAGTCAGCCTGACACACACGCACACACATCTGTTACACACACACATGCACTTCCTCACCTCAGCATGATGTCATCTGTGCTTGCTCACCTGTAAATGGTGTTTTCTGCTTGGCGCTGCCAGGCCTCAGACTGCAGGAAGTGGCACATGGAGTGAGTGTGTGTGAAGAACTCTGTGTAGCTGTTAAACGCCACTGTGTCCATGCCAGCTGTACATCTGCTGACCTCTGACCCCTCAGGGCATGCTGGGAAATCCCTGCCTGAGCTGACAGATGGACAGACACAGGTTATGGTTAAACTGAAGTATCTGCGAGGCAGCCATGATGACAGCTGGTTTAAACCTGTAAGGAAAGGTGACTCGATGCCTCCTACATTACTTCCTTTAGCAGAGGATACAATGGACTATCTTTTATCAGAGGAAAGGAGATGATGCCATCTGACAAACTGAAAGTTTGAGTCCAAACTGATCATTCATGAAAGACTCATCACCTGTGAAGCACTTTGATGTCTGATGTTATAGAAGATCAAAATAAAGACAAGGGGGTATACTTTTTGAAGTGGTTGTGGCCTTTGGGGCACAGACGTCTCTGATTTCAATTTCAATTTTTTTCAATTTCAATTTTATTTCTATAGCACATTTAAAAGTCACAGGTACAACAAAGTGCTTCACAGAGGAGCCATATTTGCAGATTTACAACAAAAGAGAACAGTCAACAACAAAAAATACAGTTATAGAATGGTAATATTACAACAAGCACGAACCGGGAGGAAATTATACTAAGTGGTTTGAAAGGCGAGCTTAAACAAATGGGTTTTTAACCGTGATTTGAAAGATTGAGTAGTTTCCGACGCACGGACATCAACCGGCAAGCTGTTCCAAAGTTTTGGTGCAGCAAAAGCAAAGGCACGATCCCCTTTCGTCTTTAGTCGAGACATTGGTTGCATTAGGAGCCCCTGATTAGAGGATCTGAGTGCCCTTGTGGGGATATATAAATTAAGAAGGTCAATCAGATAGCTAGGTGCCAGGTTATTTCTTTATAAAAGGAAAAAGTTTACCTCTTAACATCTGCCAGGTCATTGGTAACACACCCACGGTTTGAGCAAACTGCTGCCTCAGCTTTAAATGATAGTGGTGGTTGGGTTAGTCACTGAGGTGAGGTTTAGGTTTAGGCTTCCACCTTAAAACAATTTGAAGTAGCGAGTGAACCCAGGAACCCCAAACTAAAGATCCAAACATATCAAAGTACATATGTATTCCCCCTTTACAGAGAAATTTAGCCTGTTGGGAAGAAATAAAAAGTTAGGATATTTATAGATTTAGAATATTTAAAAGCGGTTCTGGGATTTCCCTCGTTTTTTTTTCTTCCAGCTGTACTGCAGCTCTTGAATCGGCCACATGATGGAAGTAAACGAATGCGAATAGGAGATACAAACCCAGAAAATAGCAGAGTGCTACAAACACCAGCTGCTTCTTTTAGATGCAATCTAATCAAAAATATGATTTTGATCGGGATTATTTAATAAAGGCTGGCAGTGCAGGACAGCAGCGCGAGGAAACACCTGTTTTTCCAGTTGTTACCTGCTCAGTTGACAGTGGGTGAACCGCAGCGCGATCAAGCTCTGGCTCTCCGACGTCAAGTCCCTGCAGCTCGCGTCCAGGTGCTCCAGAGCTCGCGCCCAACACTCTCCGTACCGGGACTGAGCCGCGAGGGTGCGCACGCGCCGCAGCTCCATCCTCCCGCGCTCAGAATCCGGAGCCGAGGAGGAAGAGGAGTGTCCGGGACCGGCGGAGAGTCCGAGCAGAACCGAACCACTCAGCAGCAGCAGCACCATGTCAGCACGAGCTGCCATCCTCACCTGTCTGCAGGTCGACCGTCAGCCAATAAGAGAGCGGGGTTTTTACCCGCACGGAGGTTAACGGGAGGTCACGAGATGTGAGTTTTCTGATCAGTTTACCTTTGATCCAAACAGACGAAGCTCTTTTATTTATTTTGAGTACACTTTGTGAGGGTTTGTGTTGTTGGTACACAACTTATTTAAACTTTAACAATGAGACTCTTGTACTCTGAAACTCACCCACAACACCATCACGTCATCATGGGTTCGATTTTAGCCCTCAACCTGAAAGCATTGGACTATTGTTATCACCCCTCTGGCCTGGTGGTGTGGACATCCAACTGCGTGAAGCAGAAATATTGTCCTTAAGGCAGGGGCGTGTGCCGTGGGACGGGTTGGGGACCGAGAATAGGTAAACGCCGCTCCCTCCACAGGAATTCAGAATATTTGATAAAAAATTCCCATCTGGGAAGCAAAACTTTATCATGGTGGACAAGTTTGTAATAGTTTCTCTGTTTGGCGTCTTCCAAGGTAAACTGGTTCTGTGTGTGGTTCAAAAGACCCTCTATGAAGAAAAAGCTGGACCACTTCGCCCTGCCCGGTTAGGGTTACTGAGGACACCCCCCCCCATTACTGATTAATTGATGTCTATATTACTTTAATGTTGTAGCTGAAATAATAATAATAATAATACATTTTATTTAAAGTTACCTTTCAAAACACCCAAGGACACTGCACAGAGCAAACAAGACAGGCATAAAAACAGGAAATAAACACAATAATAAAAGAAAGTTTAAGAGCATGGAGAAGTTATATAGAGTAGGCATCTTGAACAGGTGGGTTTTGAGGGTGGACTTAAAAAGAGGGAATGAAGGGATGTTTCCGAGGTCAGGGGGCAGAGCGACTAAAAGCCCTGCCTCCCATGGTAGTAAGACGAAAAGAAGGAACAGAAAGAAGACAAGACGAGGAGGATCTGAGGCACCCGGATGGGATGGAGATCTGTACCAAATCAGAAAGGTATGGTGGGGAGAGAGAATGAGTGGCCTTAAATGTATAAAGAAGTATTTTAAAATTAATGTAAAGTTTAACTGGGAGCCATAGGGGGTAGGGGTGATGCGGTGGTAGAGGGAGTCCTAGTAATAATACGGGCAGCAGAGTTATGGACACGTTGAAGCTTATTGATGGATTTTTGTGGCAGGCCAAATAAGAGTGAGTTACATGGACGAGAATGACAGCGGCATGCTGAGTGAGGAAGGAGCGGAGGCGATTGATCTAACAGAGTTGCAAATATGCTGAGCGAGTGACATCATTGATGTGCGAGTCAAAGGATAATGTACTGTCAAGAATGACGCCAAACAGATTGAAACTGACGAGTTATTGATAGTAACAGAAAAACAGTTGGATAGCGATAATTTGGAGTCAACCAGGAGAAGTTCTGATTTGTGACTACTTTGAGTAAAATGAAATGATTTGATTATTCACACTGCTCTGTAGCTTTATGTATAATATTACTGCACCATAGATAGAGATTATTATTATATTTTATTATCTCCAATATCTACAAAATAAAAATAAATGGTATGGCGCATGAGGAGCTGTGCTGTCGTGGCAACGCTTGCTTGGTAAGGTCTCTCAAGGTCAGTCTGATGGTGATTTAAGCAAACTTATTAAGAAAAAGTCCAAGACCTCAGCCTGGAGCCATGGGTGTCGTCCAGGTTCTGCCCAAAAGAGTCCCATTGGGACATGACCACTGTGCCACCGACCCCATTCTGGCTACACTTCTGCTTACAGTTTGTGTTCAAACTCATGTTTTTGCTCTTGGACTCTACTGGAGCAGCTTTTCATGATCCAAAGTTTTAAAAAGGTCCTTATTTATGTTTATTTTCTGGGCTGTGATGCAGTAAATTGGTCTCCTCTCCCTTTAAGATAACTTTACTCTGTTTGGCTGCCACTCACAAACAGAAGGGCTGCACAGCAGGTGGGTGGGGCTTCTCCGATCTCTTTATCATGTATACAAGAATAGGAAACAAAAACTGTGTTTAGAGCAGCCTGAAGGTTACTTGTAAATACACTAATCTCGTTCTTTTAAATTTTGGTCACGAGTAATGTCGACGTCCAGCATCGCAATAATAATAAGGAACTTGTGGAGAGAAACCTGAGAGTCATAAGTAACTGGACATGAAATTACATGTTTATTGGGGAGCTGTGAGCTATTAGAGCTCAATCCTCAGAGAGCGTCACTCAGTATGAGGAGGACAGACGAGGGCAATCATGACTCAAGCATGACTCCGGTGACGGAGGAAGTCCCCAGATGACAAAAAGCCAGAACATCACAGAAATTAGGGGAAGTCCAAGATTGCAAAATCGCTGCACATGCCCAGGCAAGCTTACTCAAAGTAGTCAGAAAATGATGTGGTTGATGCTCACTTATGCACTATTTTACTGTTTGCTGACTGAACTGGAGACATTTAAAAACAAACAAGACAGAAAGAACGAGAGTTAAACCAGTCGCTCTAACCTCGAAATGAAAACATCTACAGTAGTTAAACTGAAATCACACCTCAGATATTTAAAGGTTAATTTTCTGTATAAGTATTAATTAAATGCTTCGGGAGTTTATAAGTAGTTTTATTCGAACCCTCGTAGTTTTATAAGCATATTTTATATTTCTTTAAAGTAACTAAAAACTTTTAATAAACTCGAATCTCGGCTGTCTTTATCTCAGGTCACTCCTATGTATGACAGAGAAGCTGTTTTTGATTTAGACGGCCCTCAATCGACACAGGTCAAAGGTCAGATGACAGAGGAGATCTTGCTCTTTAGGCTGAGAAAGCCAGGGCTTTTGCTCTCTGAACTTTGTCTCTCAGGTTGCACAGTGTGACATCACAGACTGTGCAAACAGCCGAATCTAACGAGGCGTGATGTCAGCAGGTGGTCTGAATCCGGGCTCGCAGCTCTGCTCGGTCACTCTTACCTTCCAGGTGAAGACTGCGACGTCTCAAACATCAGAAGCTCGTCTTCTCTACAAACATAGACTGCTCCACACGTGGCTCCTTTTAGCTGCTGCTGTGCAGCAATAAAATTAAATGTTTAGGTTTATGTTCTATAATCTAACGGTCCAAGTGTTTGTTTTATACAGCTGTGAAGGCGCCGTTAATGCTGAATGACATGTAAAAGTTTCAGAGCAGGGGGGTCAGAAATACAACCAAAGAGCTGGCTGAAGGAAGCGTTGAGTTACAGGTTGCTCCAACCCAGGACTCTGAATTATTGTTACTTTCACAGCCTTTTGTTTTGTGGTTGTCCTCATTGGGCTTTTTAATCACGTTTTGTAAATACATGGTTAATTCATTTTTAAAAACTTACTTCTTTAAACTGAAATACATAAATAAATGTTTTTTAAATAGCTTATTGAGCAGCATTATTACTAGTGTAGTGGAAGTAGTCTGGGTGCTTTGCAGCGTTATGAAGCAAACAGTACAAGAAAGGAAGTCCTTCACTGGTGAGCAGCTAAAACCCAAAATCGAGTAAGAAGATTGTTGCAACACAAGGTGAAGGCATCAAATTCAAAATAAGCTGTTACCAGATTTCTCAGGTTTAACATGTGATATGTCCTGTATGTGCTCTTTGGAGTGATAGGATAATCGACACTCCTGCAAGAGCCACTGTGAAGATGAGGATGTTTCAGCCATTGGCTCCTCGTCCTCTGAGGTGTTTGTGTGAAAAAGAGAAGCTCAGGCAGTCAAAGAGACGACACAGATCAGGGGACAACAAACGCTTTTAGTTAGAAAGAAAAATAAGAAAACAGGTAAAAACTAGTTTGTCTACAGCGACAGTGTATTGGAGTTTCCACTGAATTCCAACCAGAATAAAAGCAGAATATTCATCCTCAATATTAGCAACTATGAAGTCACCACACACATCACTACTAATCTAGAAACACAACATGGCTTGGCTGACATGGTGGCTTCTGGCAAGACGCACAATATTATAGGCACTAAACTCTGGAACATGCAATATGGTGGCTGGTTACTGTAGTTTGTGCCGGGTCGAGTCCTGTGGAGTGAGTCCGATTACAGCGGGACGTTTGATTTCTGCAGCAGTGTGAAGCAAACGGGTTCGCTGCTCTGGGCAGACTGGGTGGCGCCACCTACGCAGAGGCTTCGTCACAGCGCGAGGACTTTACAGAGCGAGGCACGTTTATTTTGTCCAGGACGAAGACATTCAGATTCCCAAAGAGAAATTGGGCTTCCTGACGGGATGTTTCAGGATGATCTAAAAAAAGGAAGGTACTTTATAATTCTCACGGTTTTAATTACTCTTTTAGTTCACATAAGTTTGTTTTCTGTACCCTTCAGCTTGTTTTATTTATAATTTTCATGGATAAATTTATTTTTAGAACCAATAACGACACACACCATCCTGTTAATGGGTTAACACCTCGATTCCACTTTAAAGGTACTTTTTGTAGTTACCCTTTGCATAATTTAACTCAGGCTTGCACCACCAGGGGGCAGTGTTTTGACAGTGAGTGTGCTCTAAGATGCTTTTCTGTTTAACTTCTTCTAGTCTAGTAAAATTTATATTGAATTTTTAAATATAACCTGATGAATTCCAAAATTGGGTTAACGGTTGTTTTTGGAGTTACTGTTTAAAAATTTTATGAAACCTTTCATCACCAGGCAGGTGAGATGCTTTCACAACCATAGTATATTTGTTTACACATTGATCTTCTAAGCAAAAGATCCTTGCTGTGATTCGAGGAAGAGACACAAATCCCTTTGGGGTTGTGTCAGGAAGGTAAAACAGGCAGAGATAACTGCTGTGAATGAAGAAGTAGCTTATTTATGCGTTTTAACATTCAATTCTTTTTAGCCGCTCCTTTTTTTTAAGGAAGTTTTTTCCCCTTTTCTAGGCCACCTGTGTGAAGCAAATATGTTTCTATATATATATATAACTTGCGTACTTACAGAAAAAAAAAGGCTACATTGCTGCACAATCTTGTGACATTACTCAAAAATACCACCTGTTCTTTACTTCAGTTGGTATCTCTTCATCCAAGTATAAAAGACTTTGGAAACATTCAAAAATTAACTAAACAGTAATTTTCTTCAAGTACCTTTAAACAAAGAGTACGGAGGCTTCAAACAAGCGGCAACCTCCAGGGCTAAAAAAAAAAAAAAAGACAAGCAAACATAGGTGAGCAAAAGTTAGCAGCTAAACTTACTGAAACGCAGTGAAGGCAACAACCTGCCCCAAAAAAAAAAAATGCAGTTCTATATTTTTCTTTTCATTCAAGCCTCTCTTATTACTGTTGTTTTTTAACATAATTTTGTCTCCTTTTATGTCCTGATTTTAAAGTTTTTGTTGCTTATTTTGTTGCTGTACTTTTCCTATTATATTTTCATGTCACAATTCAGAGCTGCACACTTAAAAATGAACTTCTTCCTAGTCCCCCTGGCCTTTTTTAACTTTTGCATTCAGATTGCTTTGTTCTTTTTAATGAGTTGGAATTTTACATCTGTGAGTTTTTATATCAACATGTCCAATACCCAAAGGTCTCCGAATGGATCCAAAGGATGCTCATTATTAACCTTGATCATTTGGTTATGTTTTAAGGCGAGGAGGAGACTTAAACTTCAGAGTTAAGAGAAAAATGGAAGCGTTTGTGCTGCTCCTCAGCTGCTAATGCTAAATCAATAGTCAGGTCCCGATCAGATCACGCGTTTTACCCAAGTCTGATGTTTTGAATGCCTCCAGTAAACACAGACTGTACAAAAGAAGAGATCATAGTCAGTGTCGGTCTGCGAAGCCTTGGGTTTGGCATTGTGGTGCCAGAAGAGTCCAGATTCGGAAGAAGCTTATGTGCACTTATTTGGCGCCTTTCAACCTTAGCAGGTCTAGAAAACGGCTTACAATCTGCTTGTCATTCACACATTCACATACTCATCTACAAGGTGCTTGCCTGCCATCAAAACCAACTCTGGATTACAGTGTTTTTCCCAGGGATACGAGGCCTGGGATCAATTCACCAACCCTGAACCATGGCAGAGGGTCCAGGAAGGTGGGTGGTAGACTCGTGGCTGATCAATGATACGGTAGCCACGAGCTAAAGCATTCCCTTCATACTATTTATTTATATGAGAGGGAAACCAATTTACAAAATCATGGTATGTTGAGGAAAACTTCAAAGTTGCAACTGAGAGCATAACCTCATCAGGAAAGTGCTTACTGAGGACATCAATGAAGTGAGAAGTAGGGTCACCTTCTCACTGGCCTCTAAACATTAGGACTTGGAGTTCTGGCCATTAGTAAGAACACAGATTTAAGGCACTTTCATAATGGTTCCACTTTTCAGACTGGGCAGCACCGTCCTTCTTTTATGCAGTCTGTGCTTGGAAAACGAGGCGCCTGGTTCAGTTGTGACAGTAGAAAGTAAGGATGGGAAATTTGACTTTTTTCTATACTGCTAGGATCCTTCAAAAAGACTCCAGGGTCTAAATTAGGTTCCAGAGAACTTAAAAGGTCTCTGCTCATGGTGTAGTACTTTCTGAAAGTTAAGAAACTCTGGAGTGAGGCTCAGATTGCTTAACATTTGTGGTTGGCCAACCCCTGAGGGAATGCAACCAATCAGTCTTAGTCATCTGACAGTTATCTGTCCCGCATGTAAAAATCAGCACGCTTTTTTTAAGGTGAAACTGTCGGTAACGGTTTGTTTAAACAACACTGATGCCTGGTTCAATGGGGGCATCCGAGTAGTGTTCAAGCAACGTCATAAACAGAGGAAATAATGTATTTTTTGCTGCCAGAATCTGTGTGCGCGCCAGTAATGCAGGCTTCATCCTGCACAGTGATGGAAAAGGTTGAAAACTTTTTGATAAAGCTGTTCTTCTCTTTCACCTTGACCCCCAACCAATCACAGCTGTCCCTCCCTGAGCCTGGTTTCTGCTGGAGGTCTCCTCCTATTAAAATTTAGTTTTTCTTCTTCCACAGCTGCTCATTTGAAGGGATCATCAAATCGTTGAGGTTCTCTTTGTAACATCTGCCTTACAATATAAAGTGCCTTAAGTGTTGCTACATAAATAAAACGGAACTGAACTGAAACTGAGATGTGAACGCAGCAGGGATGTAACCTTGTCATGACTTTTTTCACAGCTGCTGCCATGTCAGCGGACTAATCTGTCTTATCTTTGCAGAAAACCAGCAGTCTGAAGCAACATTTTACTTCCTTGAAAGAAGTTCATCTGAGCCTAAACCTTGTTCATGTTTACGGATTGTGAGTGTTCATATCATCAGATGTCTGAGTATGATCCTTACTGCAGACTCAATAAACAGCAGCAGAACTCAAAGGTTAAATTTCTCCAGAGAAGCTCAGACAGCCCAGCAGCTGTTTGATAAAAACAGAGTAGCTGCTTTTCAGGGACATTGATAACTCAGAATGAGGTTGTTTTACTACTGTTGGAGAGTTAGAAATATATATTTGTTCAACACTTTTATCAGCAGGCTGCCTAGTGTTTGATTTTGCTATCATATCTCCTTATTAGGGCTTAGTCAGATCTATCTGAGCTTTTGGTAAAGCTGAGTTTCCCAGTTTTTCCAACATTTCTGTAAGTTAGAAACCGTTAAGTAGAGTAGCTCTGATGTGACATGCGCCCAGCATTTGGAAACATAGCCGTCTACTGATAACAAGACTGGCAGCACAAGAGTGTTCGGAAAGAAGTAAAGGAATAAATATAGAGTACCTCTGGAAATATAAGTTAAATAAATGCGGCTCTTATTTGTACCACATTTTTTCTCTTTGCTTCTGTTTTGCAGATCAAACGACCAGAGGTCATCCTGGACCTAACTTCACCAGGTTCAAGTCCCCCTAAGCGCCCTCTGAATCACTCTCAGAAATGAATTTGCAGACTTACAGCTAAGATTTCAGCTCAATGAACAGCTCTGCCCATCTTCGGCACAACTACACCCACGTGAAACTGAACCAGACCTCAGTCCAGGTTTTAGACGACAGTAAAACCTGGCAGGGTTGACCTCTGCGTAGGTGCGCTCTGGTTGAAGGCCTGCAGGGTCTCCGAGCGACATGCAGGCGGTTGATTGTACAAACTGGAGGAGTGCAAACTGTTCCAGATATTCAACACGAAGACACAATAAAAATAAGTAATTTCCCAGTCTTTCATTAAGACTAAAAACTAAAATAAAGCTACTGTGAAAGTGGGTTTGGTTTGACATTAAAAGTGCTTCCTTTGGAAACAAAAGACTACGGAAAACAGATTCATCCTGGAAGAACAACTTGCTCTGTTGGACATACTTGGAAAAACCAATGAGGAGGCTTTTTTTTTTTTTCGCCAAGCAACTGACTCTGCTAAGAGGAATCAAGAACTCCTCACACTGTTCAGACATTTTAGACGGTATTCAGAATGACTCAAAATCATGGCCGAGTACAGTCACGAATTGGGTATAAATACTCACAGATTAGATTCACTACTTGTAGGAGGCATTCTGAAAATGGATGGAAAACATTAGTGCCCCCTCTCCGTTTATTGTTAGCTTAATGGAAAATGGGGACGAAAACAAATGATGAGATTTCCGAGAAACCAGTTTAAGGTGCAAACCGCCGCCTCACATCATCTCTGAGGCTTTCAGTCGAGGACTAGTTTCAGTAAGGGACAGTCAGTCAACAGGAGGAGTTAAGAGCAGGTTAAAAGTCAGGGACTGTCAGTCAGCAGCACAGCGATGAGTAAGGGACTGTCAGTCAATAATATCAGACTTTAAAGCTGTATAACAGAGACAAAACAATAAACTATCAAAATACTAAATAAAAAAAACAGGTTATATTCCGGAAGCAACGTTTCGTTCAGAGTAATGTGTTGTTAAGCGTTGGTTTTTAGTTCCAAACTACCCCCCCCCCCCCTCCCCACGGAGACTAGCGGGACACAACAGCTGCCTTTTGATTATATATACACACACACTTTTTATCGGTTTTTCCTTTTCATTTGTTTTTCCTAGAAAAAAAGATACTATCCATTTTCCACTCGAGGTGTCCCTCAGCGCCAGGTTGGTTCTCTAATCCAGAACTTTACAGAGTCTCCAGACAGAATCAAACAGAGAACAAGCTGCGACAGTCCTTCCAGCTCTGTGTGACGCTTTCCTTCTATCTGTAAACGGTGTAAAAACCATTACAAGGACATCCCAGTCATACTCCTCTTCTGCCTGGTGCTGATTCAGTCCGTCAGGCTATTGGTAGACGGCAGGTTCATCAGTCCAACCAATCAGCTGACTCTTTCGCTGACAGCAGTCCGTGACTCTACGGTTTCTTCTCGGCTGGGACAGGGAACAGCAGATTGCGGGACGATGTCTCTGAGCTCCCTACCCTCACCTGCTGCCTCTGGCTCTGCCCGGAGCCTAGCCCTACCATCTGCCCCAGGCACGTGACCAGCCCCAGATACTCCAGGAGGTCCAGGAGGCATGGAGCTGGGAGGCCTCGACGTGCTGTTTGATCCTCTGTCTCCTCCTAAAACCTCTCTGCTTTCGGATGGCATGGCTGGCTCCCCTCTCCCCTCTGTCCTAACCCCTTCCACGCTGACGTCTCGGCTCGGGATCAGGCTCCCTCTGCCAGGCCTTGTGGTGCTCAGGTCTTGTGGCTGTTCGCTCTGGTTTTGCTGAGCAGGGACGAGGTTGGTCCTGGTTAGGCTGGAAGATGGTCGGCTGGATGAGAGGTGCTGCACGTTTGGCCTGGTAAGCTGAGAGTGTGGCTGGGAGCGCAGCTGTGGTTGGATCCGCTGAAAGTGTGGTTGTGCTTGGGACTGGGGTTGGGACTGGGGCGGCCTAGGCTGGGAGAGAGATTGACTGGATTGTGGTCTGTATTGAGTCTGGAGTTGATGTTGTGATGGGGGCCTTGTCTGTGGTTGCACTTGGTGTCTGGGTTGCAGGTGAGGTTGAGGTTGGGCTGAAGTTCTAGACTGGGCTTGTGGCTGCATTTGGGTTTGAGGTCTGGGCTGGGATTGAGGCTGCATTTGGGCTAGGGTCCTGGACTGGGATTGAGGCTGCATTTGACCTTGGTTTCTGGACTGAGGTTGAGGATGAGTTTGGGTTGGGGTCCTAGCGTGGAGTGTCGACGGCATTTGGGATGGGGTCCTGGATTGGGGTGCTGATTGTGATTGGGCTGGAGTCCTGGATAGGGGTTGCAACTGGACTGGGGTTCTGGATTGGGTTTGAGGCTGCGTTTGGCCCGAGGTTCTGGGCTGCAACTGAGACTGAGGTTGGGCTGGAGGCCTGGATTGGGACTGACTCTGAGCTTGAGTTGGGGTCCTGGCCTGGGATTGAATTTGAGGCTGAAGTGACTGTCGGGGCTGGGGCTGAGATTGCTGTTTGAGCTGGGTTTGGAGTTGAGATGGGTGCCTTGACTGGGTTTGAGGTTGGGGTGCTGTGGGGGATGTAGTTTGTGGATGTGGATGCCTTGTTTGGTGCGGATGGATGTGCAGGATGGAGGGGCACTGAGGAGGATGTGACTGAGGTTGCGTATGCTGACTCTGAAGCTGGGTTCGGTGTTGGGTTGAGGAATGAACAGGTTGTGAGGGAACTTTCTGGTTGGCAGCCTGAGGCTGACTGTGGGTTTGGGATGGGGGCTGTTGGGGGCGTGGTTGTGTCAGGCCGTGTCGGGTAGGAGAGGACTGGGGTGCTGGGTAACGACTCTGGGCTTGGGACTCATGGGGAAACTGGGGCTGGTAGCGTGGTTGCAGGGTAGGATGTCGAGGTTCGGGCAGGGACTGTGGTGCAGACTTGGACTGCGGTCTGGGAAGAGCTTGCTGGGTGTGCTGCGACTGTTGGGAGGTGAGCTGAGGCACAGTCTGAGGCTCAATGTCAGGCTTGGACTGGCTAGAAGGTGCTGGGTGTCCAGAGGGTGGAGGAGGAGGAGAAGGTTCATCCAATGTTGAGACAGTGGATTGTTGGTGGCGATGCTGATGATGGTGGTGGTGGTGATGGTGGTGCTTGTGAGGTGTTCGCTCCTTCCTTTTGTGGCTTTTTGACGGACTAGTGCTACTGCTGCTACTGCTACCCCTTCCACCCAATCCCCCCTCTCCTCCCTTATCGCTTACATCTTCACCTACTTCTTCCCCTTTGGTTACACCATCACCTGTTGCCTCTCCTGATTTGTCCTTGTGCTTCCGCCCTTTATGTGTCTTGTGTCCATGTGGTTGGCTGTCATCTGAAGCAGAAGGCTGCTTCTGTGATTGTGACTGGCTCTGCTCAGAGGGGGCGGGCTCAGGCTCTGAGCTTGGACCTCCTGCCATTGTACTGCTCTCCTCCTCGGCCGCTGTTGACTTTCCAGTCTCTGTTGTTGTAGCCATTGGAGTCTGCACACTCTCCCTTTCCTCCACTGTCTCTCTCGTTTTACGTTTTTTGATTGGCAGAGCTGTTTCCTGGACAACAGGTTTGGTGGAAGACTCCTTAGCTGCTCTCCGTTTGGCCTCAGCAGCCAAGATGGCAGCTGCAGCGTAACTTCCTGCTGTTGAGCTACCAGAGGCTGATGCAGCGGAGGTGGATGCTGTGGCGACTGATGCTGCTGTGGAGGCTGACGCTGGTTTCCTGCCCCGTTTCTTGGGGGCAGTCTGTGGTGGAGGCGGAAGTTCTTGTTCTGATTTCCTCTTTCTGCCAGGGCGGGACTTGGTCACCAAGGCAGGAGACACCACCTGCAGGGGAATTGCCAGATCAACAGGAAAAACCTGCATTAGCATTGTTGCGGGAATTATAAAAACATATTTAAGATTTTAAAGCACTGACTAGACTGCTTCCTGGATGCCTCCTAGGTGAGTTGTTTTGGAAATATCCAAATAGTAGGGACTCCAGGGTAGGCAATAAACATGCTGGAGAGATCATGTCACTCAGCTAGCTTTGGAACACCTTGGTGTCCCCCTTGAAGAGCTGGCTGAGGAGAGAGAGATCTAGGCATATCTGTTTAGACTGCTTCCACCAAGATCCAGGTCCAAATAAAAAGCAGATAATAGATGGATGAAAACACTAACCATACTTACTGCAACCACATACTACAGTCTATCTACTTTACTCATCATTTACCTCTGTTTGTGAGGATCTTCTCCAGGTAGAGCCTTAAGTTTCGAACCATGAAAATCATAAACACTAGTGCACAGCCAAGTCCTCAGTATCCACTCTCAAGACATTCTTGGCAGGACTACTGCCAGTCAAGATAAGTTTTTTATTTTAAACTCCTAATGAAAGTCTTTTCTACCTTCCAGATGATTTGTGGATCTCTTGTGTTGATCAATTGCTTAAGACCTTATTTCAGTGTATGTTAGCTGTTTTGCCCATCTTCAGGACACAACTCTACGAAGGTAAACAAAGTCTTCCATGAATTCCCTTCCCATTCTTTTCACTGGGATATTCAGAAGGTCTTTGTAAAGATGGAACTGGAGACACACACAGGATCCTTAGCCATGTCTCTAACTTTGCTACAAATGAGGATTTACAATCTTTCATTTCCTGTAACATGATTTAACTATCTCTAAATAGTTATTTGCAGGCTAAAGTTGATCAAGGTAAAACCTTGGGTTGCCTTTATTTGCTGTCACGCACAAAATGAAGAAAAAAATACAAGCTGCCACCAGCACTACCCCTCAGATTCCAAGTAGATACACCTATGGTCTCAATTTGAAAATCCTATATTATTTCCATCTTGAATTATTGAACTCACAAGATTTTAAGAACACTTGACCTTGACCTTGAAGTCAAGATCACTGAGATTTGAACTTGTCCAATGTACAGGCAGCTATGGTATCAATTTCAAAATCCCATGTTGCCTTGTTCTCGAGTTATCACACTCACAAACTTTGGTGTTCATGCTGCCCACCCGCCCGGCAAAATGACGGCAGTACTAGGGCTGCCACGATTAGTCGACTAGTCACGATTACGTCGACTATCAAAATCGTCGACGCGTCGTTTGAAGCTTTGTAAGATCACAAAAGATGCAGGAATAAGTAGTAGGATTTAAGAGTGTAATAACGGACTGAAACAGGAGATGGCAGCACTGCATGTACAAGGATGCCAGCTGCCGTTAAACCCAGCTCAGTTTCCAACAATGGCGGCAGCTAGTTAGTTTTAATATTACTCTTATTATTCTTTATGGGTCACAAAATAAACGGTTAACATATTTTCAGGCGAGAATGTAGCTGTGTAAACCTCAAATATCTGCTCAGTTTATCAGGACACCACATACTTTCAAAAGCGCTCCGACGTTTTCGGAGGCGTCTGTTACCCACCAGCTTGATAGCTAGCCGGGGGCTAGGCTCACTAGAGCCCGTCAGAACACCGGACTCCCAGCAAATCGTTTTCAAACCCACCGCCGTCTTTCGCTACTCAGGTTAAACATGATATATAAGTCACTTAGATAACTTAAAAATGTTATTGTTTGGCTTTTTTCAGTATTTTATTAGTTCCTGAGTAAATCGGTTTGGCTGAGATTAAAGTTATAGTTTTTACACAGCTGAATAAACGTCAAGCAGACAACTGATTATCAGAAGTGTGAGATGCTGGAGAATTTACTCTGGTGTCCCGTTATATTTTAGATAGCAAGGAGTTTATTAAACTCCACTGAAACAATCTGCAAATTTCATTAAAATTTAATAAACTATCATCTTGTATTTATTTTTAGTTAGCACAGACCTTAAAGACTTAAAGCTGTAAGCTAATGATAGTTATATAAGAGCAGATGCATGCTGGTGCAATAAACTGTACGTTTTACGTCCAATGGATGATGATCTGATTAGTCAACTAATCGCAAAAATAATCGGTGACTAGTCGACTATCAAAATAATCGTTTGTGGCAGCCCTAGGCAGTACCCATCAGCCTTTCACAGCTGAGGGGTAAAAATTACAGGACGCCTCAACTATCCTTGAAGGTAGTGAGCCAGAATGGCAGGACAGCATGACCCAATGTTACTGGTTGGGAGTTGGGTCTTCAGTCTTTCCTGTCTTGCCTGATATAGGATGCTCTTTACATTACACCTGTAGGTCAAAGGGGGACCAGTTTGACTCTCAAGAGCTGCTTTGAAGGTTACTGAAAAACACAAGTTAATCAACCTCAACAAAGTGGTGATTCATTGGATGACGTTATGGTGTAGAGGTGTGATCATTTTAATCAAAATATCTTTAAATGATTATGTTTATACGTGTGAACATCAGTTTTGGAGAGATGCATATTTTCTCCTTGAAGCATATTTCTGTTAGCTTTCCTGGACAGAAGAAATGAGGAAAGTTGCTTAGGAAATGCATGTTTGAGTTATTCAGCTTACTGCGACAATCTCAACACTGTGCTTCTCGAAAATGTACGAACGACTAAACGACAGAGCAACCATACCTTTGAGGTGGTGGTCGTGGTGCCAGTGGAGGTCTCTGCTTTGCCGAAGGGCATCTTGACCAGCAGTTTGCCCGGAGTTTTCTCAACCACACGTTTCATTGCCACTCCTTCTGTAGCCTGCCTCATCTTCCCACTGCCTACAAAAACACAAATAGATACACAATTACAGAAAAAATAAATACTCAAATAGAAATACTCAGGAACAGCTTTCCAGTATAACTTCTAGAATCACATCTTTTAGTACCTTTGGGCCTCCCACGACCACGCCCCGATGGTTTCACCACCTTTGGTTTCTTGGGTGGGCGCTTCTCACGGCGGGAGGGGCTCCCACGCCCAGTAACAGTAAAGTCAAAATCATTAGGGTCGGTTGTTGTGTCACCAACCTTTTGGAAGTAGGCAATAAGCTCCACCTTGGAACGAAACGCTTTCCCCTCCGAGCTAAACAGCAAAAAAAAAAAAAAAAAAGCAAAAAAAAAAAGCATCACAAATGTTCATTTGGGGGTTTTACTCCTCTACATCCTGGAAAACGAGCACACTGTCAGGGTGGCTCAGGGCATGGCTTACTTGATTAGGTAGACATCAAACTTCCCAGCAGAGCGTCCAGACTTTCTCTGTTTCAGTTTGCGGGTCCAGCCTTCGGGCAGAGATGGGTCATCATACAGCGGCCCTCGGTCCCGAATGATGGAGCGCCGCTGCCTGGAAGATCCGGCAGACTCGCTACCACCTGCAGACTCTGACCCTGGCTCTGAGGGACCGGCCACTGGCTCTGACATCTGCAAGGAAAAGGTGAGCAAAAACTTGTCCTTCATCCTGAGCAAAATGTGTCATGATGTTCAGCAGGTGATGAAATTTGTCCCTCCACGATTCCACTGTTTCTACTAACTTCTAATGCAGTCTTTACCTGGGTCTGTTGCTCCAACCCTGTCTGTGGCTGCTGTGCTGTTGAGGTTGAAGCTGAGGCCATGGTCTCCGTCCCCCGCTCAGCATGACGACGTTCCCTGCGGGGTTTCTTGGTCTTGGACCTGTCTTTTTCCTTCCTTGGAGGCTGGGGTTCAATAGGTCCTTCATCACCTTCTTGCCCCTCCTCCCTGCACAAAAAAGAGAGAAAATCATACTGTTGACATTATGACCACAACCTGTTAACTGCAAGAATCCAAATAACTTTATAAATATAAGTTCATCCACATAGAACACTTTCAGATCAGTGTTTGACTGAATCAGTAAGAACACGTTAGGCTTCCTTTAGCTTCACTCTAGGGCTGCCACAAACGATTATTTTGATAGTCGACTAGTCACCGATTATTTTTGCAATTAGTCGACTAATCAGATAATGCATCCATTGGACGTAAAACGTACAGCTTATTGCACCAGCAGCATCTGTCAGTTCACTGTTCTTGCCGGCTCTAGTGAGCCTTGAACCCTGGCTAGCTATCGAGCTGGTGGGTAATAGACGTCTCCGAAAACATTGGAGCACTTTTGCAAATATGTGATGTCTTGATAAACTAAGTAGCTGCCGCCATTGTTGGAAACTGGAATTGACTGGGCCGCGCTATGAATTTTGGGATAGGTTGGGCCACGATGGATACACCCGACCCATCCTTCAAATCTGGGGAAATGAAGAATGCATTTTTTGGCCGCGTTTGGGGGAGTCTTCGAATTTGGACAGGCGTGCCACGTCCCTGTAACGTAATTGACCTACAAATGCAGCCTCCGAAGGATGCGGCCGCTAAATTTGGACACAGCTATGAAACCCGGACACTACTTCTTCTTCTTTGGCGTTTAACGGCAGCTGGCATCCCTGGACATGCAGTGCTGTTCTTCTGTTTCAGTCCGTTATCTTACTATTTATTCCTGCGTCTTTCGAAATCTTACAAAGCTTCAAACGACGCATCGACTATTAAATTAGTCGTTGACAATTTTAATAGTCGACGTAATCGTGACTAGTCAACTAATCGTGGCAGCCCTACTTCACTCCCATCAAATGTTTGCAGAACATTTAACTCCAAAGACCCTTCAGACCTGATATTTGAGTTTGAACCATGTAAAAGCTGCATGAAGGCAAATTACGTGCCATTTTTCTAACCGCCAATACAAAGCTCTGACAGACTTCATAAAATTTAAAGCAGGACCTTCTTGAAGTAGATCACTGTCAGTGATTCTCACTGTATTACGTTCTTTGCATAAATGGTTAACAAGACCTGACCCTGGACCATTAATAAGCTGTTGCAATTTTGGCTGAGCAAAAAGTAGTTAAATAAGAAGTGTTATGTGTTTGCCACATCCATGGAGGACAGGTTGTGGTGATTGATTTAGGAATAAATTCTGATTAATTCCAGCAAATTATGTATGTCAGGGCATCTGTCCACAGACTGTTCCTTAAAAGAAAATGGGTCAAGATACAACACGACACCCTAAAACTCACAAGTCATTCCACCTAATAATGTTCAATGAAGACTAAAGATAATGGTTTAACAATGTCCAACATAAATGTTGTGAGAAGGCCTGTAGCAAGGAAACCAAGCAGCAATCACCGAGGCTAAAAATGAAGTGCCAAAACCTCCACTTCCTCTAATGGCCAATTGAGGCTGATTCTAAAAGTGAGACAATCTTCATAGACTCTAATGTTAAAAAGCTTTGGCTTCAGTGGATATCTTTACCAGCAGCACCCGCTAATCCAAATATTGTCACTACTTGCTATACACACACTATAGCTGCCACACTATAGCTGCCAAAATGCTAACGCTTCATTTAATGCCTTTAAATGAAGAACCTGAAACCAATGGGTAGCAAGGTGACTACGTCCATCTTCTATGTACGGTTTGTGAAATCTTACTTATATAGTACCTTGCCTGACCTTTACTCCTAGTTCTGATTGTGTAGCACTTTGTAGACGTCCCTGTGCAGCACTTATCTTGCAGACAGCTACAAATGCTCTCTAATGCCTTTATTTGGCTATTGGTGATTTGGTCTTCTATTTGCTAAAGCTAAAGCTGGTGAGACGCTGTGACTCCCTCTCCATAATCCTTTGTCTGTTTGCTAAATCTGACTGGTGTTTGTAGATTACAAAAGCAAGCATGCGATCGCCTAAATGTTAATATAGAGTCCAACATCTGTGACACATGTCATGGTGGCTACTTCCATCAATCACTGAAAAGGAAAAAGTGGGCACCCAACATTATACATTATAACATTTTTATTACTTTTAAGACTTATTCTGTATTTATGCAGAATAAAGCAAATTCTAAAGGATTTACAAACTTTTTCCTGCAACTGTATGTAGTGAATGTTGGGATATTACACTATAAACCATGTATGTGATTGATTGGATCAATATCAGATTTCGGACCTTTCCAGAAATAAAGCCCATGTTAACAGTGGAGCTAAATGGGGTACAGACCTTTTTTTTGGTGATGGATGGATGGTAAAACTCCCTGCCTTTGTGTGTGGACCTCATAGTGAGTTTATCAGCTCAAGCAGCCTGGTGCTCTTATCCGGTCTTTAAGTCGGACGTCATTAGCCGTGCCTGGTCCCAAACTACGCTGTAGGTCCCAAAGTCAAACGAACACTGCGGCATCACTGAGAGTCGAAAAAGTGTCTAAATATGTCCACCTGTAATAAAATGATCAGTGTGGCTGCTCTACCAGGTGTAACAATTAAGTTTAACATCCAGGCATCCATGAAAATTTTTTTATAAAATTTAACGGAGTTAGAAGTTAGCAGGGAGTAAGCTCGCTAGTTTCCATCTAAATACAATACAGCATGTTGTGACTGAGGGATTTCTGAAACAAATTAAGACGTACAGCTCTGCTATCACTTCCGACATAAATGAAGACAGAAAACTAAACAGCAGTGATGTTTATAGGGTTACTGAAGTTGGACTAGCTGGGATAAAATGGCGTGCTACGTGATCACTAGCAACAAAGCTATTTTAGCATAATATAAACAGTGAAGCTGGAGGACAAAAACTAACTTTTTCACTCGATTAAAGTTAACGTGAGGGTTCCTGATGGTCAGGGACAAATGCAATTAAGATAACCTGTATTAGTCCCACACGTGGGAAATTTGTTATTGTAATCGCATGGCAGGATGCTATAAACGGACCAAACTTCAGTCAGAAGAACAACTGAGATAATCCATCCACAATACGAGGTTAGTCATTAATATACTGCTGCATGGGCTGGGCTGTAGATACATCTTACACAAAACTGAGGTGTGTTAAAAACTGAGCTTTAAAATAATAAGGATAATAGAAACCAAGAGAGGCCGACAGTGATCACTGACTGTTTTTAGGGGCTTGTAGATTAAATAGAACAAAATGCAAAGCATTAAAACCTGTTAAAAACACAACAGCCTTATTAAACACAGAGTGGTTTGGGCCCGGAAGCAGGACTCATCACGTCATCACTTAAAGACAGGATTGTGAAGCAATTGCAGGAAGTGCTGAGTTACAGTGACTGACTACCCCTGAACGCACCAACAGGAAGTCTTCAACTCACGCTATGGTTCGTCTTTAAGTTACTGTAGGTCACTGTGGTGTTTTTTACCCACTGCAGCAGCTTTGTAACAAAAAGAGATACACATCTAATGTTAGATTAGATAAGCATGAGCGGTGCATTTCCCCCTGATGCTTCTTGAACTTAACAAGTTTCGATGTAGTTTGTGTCCTTTGCTCAGCTGAATACAACTACTTTATCTAAGAAAGCTTTGGATCAGCTGCTCAGTGCAGATTAATCAGTTTTTCATTCCCTCAGTACACCAAATTAGTTTTTAAAGTTATATGAAACTGTGATGGTTTTTATCTTGCTTTGACCGACCATCTTTATTTGGTGCAAAAACGATGTTGAATTTCCTGTTTTTCTAACGGGGAGCAGAGGCTGTTTCTCATCATAAGTCTGACAGCTGGAACAAGATTAACCTTACTAAATAAACTCTGACAGAAACCAGAAGACACCAAAATCAGAGTCACTGGTGGAACTGACAGCAGAGGATAGATAGCTCTCTTCTGATTAAAAGACTAATCAGAATTTCTCATTAATATTTATGTGTTAAATGATTATTTCAGCAGCATGAGGGCTGAAGACGACTCGGACCGGTGTTTACTTCACATTTCCAGTTAAATGTCACATTGAGACTGAAAATGTCAGACCCAACAGAATGCCTGTGTTTTCTTAAACTTTAAATCAGTCATTTAAAAACTTCAGTTCATAAAATGAATAAACATTGCTTCTGAATGCATGAAAACAAAAGCTCTGAGGTGGTTTTGAAACATTGAAATCTGTAATAGAAAATTCTTGTCTTAAATTGGCTGCATTCACGAGCACTTCCTCTTTTTCATATTCTCCTTCTCTTCTGCTTTAACCTGACACATGTGTACAGATGGGTGCAATTGTTCTGTTTCTGAATGTTAATTGCTGGAACGAGATAAATCTGTGTAACACCAACTACTTTGTCTTTGCTGGCTATAAAATAAAACCTGCATGTTATAAAAACAGATTTATATATAAATAAAATATTAAAGTATCTGTGTGTTGTGTTTGGGTGCATTAGACATTCAGATTTCAATCACATTTATGTACAAGCTTATCTGATTCATTATCTGCAGCACACCCAAACTTATAGTTCACAAAGTCTATACATTCATGTGTTAACTTATGAGGAGACGGATGTAAACTATATATGCCGTATTTTCCGCACAATAAGGCACACTTAAAATCCTTTAATTTTCTTAAAAATCCACAGTGCGCCTGATAATCCGGTGCGCCTTATATATGAATTCTGGTTGTGCTTACTGACCTCCAATCGATTTTATGTGGTACACGGCGCTCAAAAATCTGTCAAAAAATGTTTTAGTACCACTTTGCTAAGCTATGAAGCCGCACCGCTTGATGGATTGTTGGATCAGGTAGTCAGGAGCTTCGCGGAGTAATCTGGGTCCAAAAACTCCGTCTGCTTCAGGTCCCAAAGTCAAACGAACACTGCAGCGTCACAGAGTTAAAACTGTCTAAATTCTTTCATCTTTAATGAAATGATCAGTGTTGCTGCTTTACCAGGTGTAACAATTAAGTTTAACATCCAGGCATCCGTGAAA